CCCCCCACCCCCCGCGTCTCTCCCACCATCACCGCCGCCCCGATCCTGTGGGGACAGCCCCCCCCCCGGCTTCCCTGCCCAAACCCGGCGCCCGGTGCCTCTCCGGCCCTCCCGCCGGCTGCCGGGGATACAATGGAGCGGCAGAGAAACGGGACCTAACGTTCCACGGGGGGAGGGGCGGGGAGACCCCCTCCCCCGGCCCACGGGCTCCCTCCCCTCGCCCTGCTCCCGGCCTTTCGGGGGTGAAGAGGGCAACGGGCAGGAGATGGTGGTTTCCTGGCTGGAGGCGGCGAGCCTTCACCTCCCCTTCTCGCCCGTCCCATGCGCCCCCTCCTCAAATGTCTCCCGGGGCTGCCGGGGAGAAACAGGGCCCCCGGCAAGCTTGGGAGGGATGAATGTGGAAGGAGGCCATCGGGTCTCCCCCTCCCCATCGCCCCTAAACAATGAAAGGAGTTGACTTGGTCCCCTACCCCCAGCAGTGAACGGAGTTGACCCCCTCCCCTGCGGGCCGGCTGGTCCCGGAGGGGGTCCATTACCCGGGGAGTGAGGAGGAGGTGAGCCTTACTCCTGTCACCTCCCGGGATTTGGGGCGGCCCCCATCTCCACCCCCTCGGCCCAGGAATGGGAGGCTTCAGGCCCAGCCCGGGCACCGCGCTCGGGTGTTGACCTTTAGACAAAGGCAACCCTTTCCCTGGGGTGAGCCCGGGCGAGCCGGGCCCCTGCGGAGGGCGGCCAGGCCGCGGGCACCGGGAGGGAGGGATGGAGGAGGGAGGAGGGATGGAGCCATCTGGTTTTCCCATCCCTGGCTGCCCCTCGGCTGCTTCTCCGGCTGCTGTCACGGGCGGCCGCGGGGAGACACGGGACCAGGGGCGGCCCAGGCCTTGGTCCGCGGCCAGCGGAGAAGCGGGCGAGGAGCCGTGGGAGGGTCGGGCTGGGGCGCGGGCGCCCGCGGTGATTGGAAGGCACCGCGGCTCCTTCCTCTCCGCGCCCCTTTGTTTTGCTTTGTGGTTCTGAGCAGCTGAGCTTCCCGGGAGGTGGGGTCAGAGGCCGCCGTGTCAGCTCTCCCGGGGAGGTGGGGGTGACAGGTCCCAGCCCTCCGGTGTTCCCTGACCGGGGGCTGCTGTCGGTGCCCAGCCTTCCGTCCGGACAAGTATCCCCTTTTGTCACACAGCCCTCCCATGGTATAACGAGGATCTGGGCTTGTGCTGAGCGCCTGCACTTCGCCCACACCTTTCCGAGGGCGCTTGTCTGGGAAACAGTTTGTAGAAACACCAGAAGGCCGAGGCCTGAGATGTATGAGAAGTTCTGAGTGCTTTCAAACCCTCACCTGGGGCGGGGGCGGGGGTGGGGGCTGAGTCAGCTCTGACCTCTAGGGCAGTGCGAGAACAGGGGAGGTGACAGCTCAGGAGCTACATCCTTCCGATGTGATGGTGTCAGGTGGGACTTAAGGGGCTCATTGACTTCACACCCTTCCCCATAGCTCCCCCACTCCTAGAAGTTGGAAAGAACCTCATTTCCCCACCCAGGGAGCACTATGGCTGCTGCTAAGTGGCCACAACTAGAGAAGGAAGTAGGGACTGTTATTAGTCCATTTGACAGAGAGGCTAATGGAGGCTCAGAGTGGTTAAGTGGCTTGTCCAGGGTGACACAGCCTCAATTTGTAACCCTCTCAGATTTCTCCAATCCAGCTCAAAACCTTTAGGTTCTCCTGTACCCCTCCTTGTCACTTGGTCCTTTTGATTTCAGTTGACCTGGGTTGCAAATGTAGTTAATACCTGGACAGAGCTGTCAGAGCGCTGGTTTGGGGAAGGCATAAGGAGCACCCGGAAGCTTGGCTGAGGGCAGGATCATCTCACCCGTGGCTGAGGCTGAGCGTTTGCCTGTGGGAGCCAAGAGTCGGAAGTGTGTGAGTCAGGGGAAGGCGGGTAGGTGGTGTCCCTGGCCTGGCTGGGGTCACCTGGGAACCAGCCCACTGTCATCCTCCTACTCCGCCTGAGCTGGGATTTGCCCTGGCTTGTTGCTCCTCAACCTGCAGGGACCGAAGCCGAGCTGTTGGGGACCTGGTTGGCACTCTGCCCTTTGACCCTCCGTTGTGCCCTGATGCACCTGGCAGAGAACTTTCCTGCCCATTCTCCGCTTGGCCTGGGTGTTACTCTCCTGCTTCCACTCTGTGACCTTAGGGAGGTCATTTAACTTCCTAGTCCTCAGTTTCCTCATCTGCAGATGGGGATAATTAAGAGTCCCTTAGCTGACCTCAAGGTGGGTGAAAGTATTATCCAAACGTTTTTATTTCTCATTCAGCAGATGGGATGTGGTGTGCCTATAGGGTGGGGAGCACTGTTGGGTGCTGGGCCTTTTAGGGTGATCACATAGGCGTCCACTGCTGATTTCCCTGTGGTTGGTGAGGCCCTCCTGTAGCTAATTCCATCTGGGTGACATACCCCTTCCACCTGCCTGACCTGGGACCTTACCCTTTTAGCATTCACTGGTGCTGAGTCAGCCTTTGGGGGGTTGGGCTGAGGAAGAGGGGCTGAGGAGGGCCCGAATACCTAGTGAGGGAGGTGACACAGGTGGTCCTGCTGTTTTACAGGTGAAGAAACTGAGTTCTGGGGAAGCCTCTTCCAGGGCTGGGGGTGGTGGAAGGGGGGCTCCATGTTTGTCAGCAGAGCTGGGAGACAACATTTTGAGGGAGCCCCTGCCCCCTAACTATTGTCCTCTTTGATGTGCAAATGTCTTCCTTCCTGAGATGACAGGCATAAATCATAATATTCTGGGCGGGCAAGAGAGAGGGTTGTAGGCCTCTCTAGGCTCAATGTTTCCTGAAAGTAGGAGTGGATTTTTTTTGGGGGGGGGGGCAGGATTAAGGCCCAAGAGGGACAGGCCTATGCCCTGCCCCCCTGCCTGCTGACTTCCTTCCCAGACGTCTCTGGGCCTTCCCCAGCCTTCCCTGGGGATGTGGGGTCCTCTTCCCCTTCTCTCCTCCAAGAGGCTGTGGAAGGGCCAAGGGGTCAGCACCAAGCCCTAGGGCCTGGTGGGTGAGTGGGGTCTCCAGGTCCAGCCACCAGCTGAATTCCCGCCAGCCTTCCTAGCTCGCCCCCGTAGCTGTCTTGACTCCTGGTCTCAAGAATGCAGAGGGCTGCTGGTGGGGAAGTTAATTGGAAACAGGAAAATATGGCATTCCTTTCCAGCCGGCCTGGGCTTGGAAAGCAACTGAGGGGCTGCCTTTCCCCCTCCTGCCCTGCATGGGAAAGGGGTGGGGGGCATGGTCTCTTTTGGGCCTTCCCCCCACCAGGCACCCTCACTCTTAGTAGAAATAGTAAGTTCACTGAACTACACATCTACCATGTAAACTATTCCTGTCCATCAGAATGAGTTGCCCCCCACTTAGTTCATGCCAAGTTTGTCCCCTCTCTGAGGGTGGAGGGCCTGAGTGAGGGGTTGACTCCCCAGCGTAGGATCTGTCACACTAGAGACACATGGGAAATGTTGGGTGGAATTGTCCCCAAGGAGTCCCTCCTCATTCCTTCTCTAGAACTAGAACTCTCCCCTGCCTGGAGTACCACCATTAGAGTTTTGTCCCCATTGACTGAAGCCTTTGTGTCTCCGGGACATGCAAGTTTCCCCAAAGGGGGAGAGAATGTTTTTTAAGACATTTCTAATTTGGTGACAATTAGTTTTGTGTGGAGTTTGTGTATTCATGGTGGCAGGGATCTGCTGGCAGGAGAAGCAGGAGAGAGTGCCTTTGTTTCTTTAATTGTTCCCAGTGAAACTTCCTGAGGGCCTACTGTGTGCCAGGGCCCTGGGGCTCAGTTAGGATATTGGGCCCCAGTCCAGGATGAGGCTAGAGGTAACTGTTGTTTCCAGGGCTGGATTAACAGTGTGGGATTTGACTAATTCTGTCTGGGTGGTCTGCGAAGTCTCCAAGGAGGAAGCAACTTCTTTCTCTCTCCCTGTTTCTCTTTTTTCCTTAGTGATACATGCACATGGGACACAGAGTACTACGCCTCCTTCTCCACTTTCCCTGGCATCCCTGGGACCCCAGCTTGCCTCCCAGAGGCAACTCCTCAATCCTGATGCTCTGTACACACACATTTACATCTGTGTGTCTATCTTTAAAAATATTCATTGCGCACTCATGGTAGCACGCTCTTCCCATTGGTGGCTTTTTTCGCTTCATCTCCCCAAGAGACCCTACTGCACAGTACTGGGAGGGTTTCCCCATCTTTTTCTTGGCTGCATGGTATTCCGAGGAGTGGGTGAATCCTCCTTTATTTGATATGGATGTGGAGATGTTTCCAAAGGTTTCTGTGCACAGAGATGGAAGGCATCATCTTTATGTCTTATTGGGAAATTGGGATGCCTGTGGGATAAACTCCTGGAAGCGGGGTTGCTGGATCCAGACCCTGCCATCTGTCATTTGGTCACTCTTAGGAGGTCCCTTTGTAGCCACATCTTGAAGGAAGTCGTTCCTCTTCCTGCCCAGTTTATCCAACCTGTCCGGCACCTGGGGTCTTTGTGTTTTGTGACCTCCTTGCTGCTTCTTCCTGCCTGTGGCCTGCTTCATGTGCTTGCCAGTTGGTATGTAAGCCAACTGTCTGTTGGTTCGAATCTTGGCTCTGCCAATTCCTGGCTGAATGGCTACAGCCAAGAAGCTTGCTTACCCTGGGCCTCAGTTTTCCCCTCTGTTAAATGGGTTCATCTCAGTACCTACTTTTGGAAGGTTGTGAGGATTAAGTAACATGGGTAAAAAGTTCATAGGTAGCCAGCCGGCACAGTCAGTGCCAGTGTTATCTGTCATTCTTTGTCAGTTCTTTCTCCTAGGGCCTTTTCAACCCAGCTCAGCTGTGAACCCCCTAAATTGGTAGTAGGCATGGGAGGGAATGCTGGCTCTCCCACTTAATCACAGCATGACTCTGGGCAAGTGATCCCTTTTCTGGGTCTCAGTTTCCTTGTCTGTAGAATGGGCCCATGATGGCTCCCTTGTAGGGTCTGCTGGGAGGACCTAATGAGGCAGTGTTCCCCAAGCCAGGCATGCGGCGGCCTTTCAGGAGCTAGTAGCTGAAGTCACTGCTATTTTTGCTATGATTACTATTCTCCCAGGGGACCCAGGCTGACTTCTCCACTCTGAAAGGTCCCCATTGTCCTCCCCAAAGGCACATGGGTACAATGTTGGCATTTACACCGGGCAACACATAGCAGGCTGCTCTGGTAGCAGGCACAGCGGCGTGACTCTGGAAACAGACAGGGCGTCCCTGCTTTGTGCCTCAGTTCCCTCATCTGGAAGAATGGTAATGACGGGGGACCCACCTCAGGTGTGCTTGTGGATGTGCACTGACTGGCGTATAGCAAGTGTTCAAAACGTGGCAGTGGCTACGATTATTATTAAGAGAAGTAGCAAAATCTCCCTTGAGATCAGACCCAAGTATTGCCTTCCCCCCCAAAACCCTAGGCAACCAATGTTGGCATTTTATTTTATTTTAATTGATTTTGAGAGAGAGAGAAACATGGATTTGTTGTTCCACTTATTTATGCGTCTTTGGTTGTTTCTTGTATGTGCCCTGACTGGGGATCAAACCTGCAACCTTGGTGCATTGGGACATCACTCTAACCAACTGAGCTACCCAGCCAGGGCTCAATGTTGACATTTTAAATGGAGGCGAGGTCCCAGGCAATCAAATACCCTGTGGGTATCAGTTTCCTCATCTGTAACAGAACTTCCCTCCTGAGGTTGTTATGACTCTTAAATGAGTGAAGGAGATGTGGGAAGGTCTTTTTTAGAGATGACTTTTTAAAAAATTTATTGATTTTTTTAGACAGAGGGAGAGAGAAAGATCAATTTGCTGTTCCACTTATTGATGCAGTCATCGGTTGATTCTTGTGTGTGCCCTGACCAGGTATTGAACCTGCAACCTTGGCATATCGGTATGATGCTCCAACCAACTGAGCTAACCGGCCAGGGCCCAGCCAGGCTCCCCTTGCCCACCCCATCCCTCAGTGGTTCCCCTTCAAAGTGCCTCTCGTGTATGGAGGGACTGGAAGGCGCTGCTGACTTTAGATGACCCCCCTCCCAGCCTCCAATGTTCCCTGTGTCCCAGCCTGGCAGCCTTGGGCACAGAATGAAGGGGGGATATCTGTGGACCCTTGTTAATGAGCCCTGGTCGCTTCCAGGGCCTGGAAGCTAAGGGTGGTCCTTTCCCCCAGGACGCCTGCAGGTCAAAGCTCCCCAGAGCTTGTGCCTCACAGGGTGGTGGTGACAGTTTGTTGGACTATCACCTCCTTCCTGTCCTTCACGGCATCTTACCCATCCTCGAATGTGAAGCCCCCCAAGCTCAGTGACGGGAACCCCCTGGAAGAGCCCTTAGCTTGTGCCAGGCTCCCCTTGGCTTAGCAAGCTCTTGCCACAGAGTCCTTACTTCTGTCCCCAGGATATGCCTGTGACCTCCCACTTTTGTGCACACACTCCCCTTTCACAGGAAGTTTTGTATATATGTACATGTCTCCCCCAATTCTCTCCTGCAAGTCTCATTCACGTACAATAAAACACACATTTAAGCATGCACTGCATGAGTCTCCACAAACGTGGCCACCTGTGTAACCTGCACCCCCGCTGGATCTAGGATATTCCCTTGTGTACTTGTGTATACATATTTATATGTAGGTGTGTAAAATTCCCTATATCCCCACTCGCTGCCCTGGCCTCCCTGGGCACCCCTCTTGCCTATTTAAGGTGCCCCTCTTCATTCTCCAGTGCCCTGGCAGTTGGTTTTGTGTGATGGATGTTTACTTTATATAGAGGATCCTGCTTTATTTTTCCTGTATCTTTCCCACCCATCTCCTTGCTTTTAGGCACCCACATTGCTACTTGTCCATGTCTGTTGCTCTGCCCAGCTGTAGTGCTCCATGG